GGACCTATGGGACCATGCCCTTTTTCTAAACAAAAACAACAGATGGCCTAAACAAATAAAAGGTGGCGCCCAAGGAAAGTTAAGGGGGAGGGCTAAGCATAGAGAGGCAAAGCACGTGCACATTTGACCTTTTCAAGAATTGGCCTAAGCTTAGAAATCCCCGCCTGCTAAGCATATAAATATGATCTTTTGTGTTACAATAAATGGAACTGCCTGAAAGAACCCCTGCTGCATGTGTATGTGTTTGTTCCCTATCTGGGAGAGCAGTGGTGTGCTCACCCATCTCTTGGAATCTCTTTTTGCCTCATGTCCTGGGGGTGGAGGGGGGGAAGAAAAGGGCAATCCCTTTGGCTCCAACCCTCTAGGGAAAGGAAAAACCTGTTGGGGTCCCGTGCAGCCGCTGGAGATGCCCAACAGGAAGGGATGCTGTTCATTGAGTCTTCCAGTTTCTCAGGAAGATCATGTACTTTGACATGAATGCATGGGATGTCAGTTACTATTGGAACATTATTCCAATATTAGAGTAAGTGAAACACTGGAACATTGGGTCTGGCCATTATGAAAAAAATAACACCCTAAATGTGCTGGCAAGTATGTGGGGACATTGGAACCCTTGTTCACTGGTGTGGATGGAAACATTATGGAAGTTCCTAAAAAAGTTAAAAAGAATATTACCATATGGTCCAGTAATCCCAAATCTGGGTAAATACACAAACAAGTGAAATCAGGATCTTGGAAAGATATTACCTATCCCACATTAAGAGTGACACTATTGAAAATGACGAAGTTGTGGTAGTAATCCAAACATCCTTCAATGAATGAATGTATAAAGAGACTGTGGTACCTATGTACTATAGAATATTATTCAGTCTTAAAAAGAAGGAAGTTGGACCATTTGCAATAACATGGACAAACCTTGAGGACATTGCACTAAGTGAAATAAGTCAGTCAAAGAAGGACAACTATTACATGATTTCACTTACATGAGCTCTGAAAAATAGTCAAACTCATATAAGCCAAGAATAGAATGGTGGTTTCCAGAGAGGGAGTTGCTCATCGCTGGGTTTTGTAATTCAGTTACGCAGATGAATATGTTCTAGAAATCTGTTGTCCAACAGTGTGTCTACTGTATAGAATATACTGAAAATGTATTGTACACTTAAAAATCTACTAGGCAGGTAGATTTCATGTCAAGTGTTCTTACCACAGTATAATAAACCAAATGAAATTAATAATGATAGAGAATTTATTGAAAATTTATTAAGACCACCTGGTTCTAGGTATACAACTCAAAGCGACCATAAAAGGACAAAGTGGGATACAAGAATCCTGAGTACACTGAAAAAGGAAACATAATTACAAAGATTATGAATCAGAATAAAAGCTAAGACCATCACTCCAGGTCAATGATGTACAAAGCTGGCACAAGACCCAGAAGACATAAGGAATCAGAAACCAGAGAGAAGTATGCTGCACTTCATCATGCTGACTCACAAGTTTTTAAAAAGGCAGGTGAGTCACCGAGTTTCTGGTGATAGTGTGATGGTTTTCGGCACAGGTAGGAAGGGAATTTGTCCAGGCAGGGCAAGTCGGTTGAAGGAAGGTTGGCTTGTGGAGATGGTGGTCCTATGGGGAGAAGGTCAACAAATGCAAGGCTGTCAGCAGCTGGATCCACAGCAGGACCCGCAGCCCTGGGCTAGGCAACCGGGCAGGCAGCAGCATGTGGGTTGGTAGCAGGTTCTCGTGCAGTACACGGGCGTGCAGCACACTGGCTGGCAGCAGGGTGAGCCACAGCAGCTGGACCCACAGCAGCTGGGCTGGCAGCAGCTAGA